AGAGCGTGGGAGGAAACCAGAGTACCCAGAGGAAACCCACACAGGGAGAACATGCAAACTCCCAGGCAGGTGGTGCCATGGTTGGGATCCAAACCAACGACCCTAATACTGCCAGGCGGAAGTGCTAACCATTGTGCTGCCAATCGTTTTGCATAGAGCAGCTCCAAGCCTCCTCTTCTTGGGTCACCCACTAGTGCTGTAGGCTCCTCCTCTTCTCGGGTCACCCACTAGTGCTGTAGGCTCCTCTTCTTGGTGCCCCCTCATAGAAAGCTGTTTCTTATGGTGGATCATCTGGGGGCTCGACCCTAAGTCGGGCTGTGTGCGTCTATTAACAAACACCGCACTACTTGGCCACTTCCCTTGCTCTTTGCTCACAGTATTTAATTGACATCAGCAGGAGCCATTGGCTTCTGTAGCTTTTCCATTGCAGTCTATAGAACCAAAAAAGTCCCTGACCCTTTCCAAAAAACGCACTGGGTGAAAACACACGGATGTGAACATGTCCCATAGGAAATCATGTTAAATGGACTGTACTGCAGAAAAGGCTTAGGTGTAAACCTAGGGTAAGATACTTTATGTCTGGCTGGAGTTCAGTATTACACCTATGCGATCCGATTCTGCACATCGCACTGCGTTTTGCGGACCAATTCTAGTGTGTTGTTAACATACACCCCCGTATTGGTTCACATGAATGGGGTACGATTCTGATGCGGTGCAGAATTCGCACAGAAAACGCTGCAAATTCCACACCGCATCAGTGTGAGCCCAGCCTGAATGACTGATCTCCTTGGCATAATTGCTTTGTTTTGTTGAATATAGCTGTCAATTGGATGCCATTAAGGACATTCAAGAGAAGTTTTGGTTGGGAGTTTTATCAATTAAAGCTTCATCTAAACTAGGCATTACCTTTACCCATTGAGGGGCCTTGGGGGGGGACTTAAAGTGGTTGTAAACTTTTTTTAATGTTACCTACAGGCAAGCCTATAATAAAGTGTACCTGTAGGTAAAATGTACATCTCCTGAACGTGCACCTGTTAGGAGATATTCTCTCTTCATGTAATCCGGTACATGCGCTCTGTAGCGACGGCATAAACCGTGTCATTCCATTGTAATGCACACTAGCACATTATGTTTTTACCTTGCAGGGGATTTTTTTGTTATGATGGACGCGGTTTACTACTGCTTTAAAGAGATTAAACAATTCCTTCTACATAAGTTGTACCTGTGTATCTTTAGCCATTTCTCTATTGTTCTAAAACCCAAAGGATTGTTCTCAGCAGTAGAAAGGAGTGGGCGGAGAGATATGACATCACACACACTGCAGACCCAGAGCACAGATCTTCCTTGGAAGGAAGGAACACACCCCACTCTAACAGGTTCATAGAGAAAAATTCAAAGATGCGGATACCTGCTGTGTGCTGAAGGAGGGGCAGGGAGGGGTTGTCTTCTTAGAGGTGTCAGCTTAGAGTTCTATAAGTGACTCATCCGGACAGCAGAGGGTTTAGAGAAGAACTTCACTTGGTGCTTTGGATTCAGGCTAGTACCTACCATACAGCGATGTGCTTTGTTCAGTTTTTTATGTCCAAGACTTACAACCACTTTAATGGGGTTGATTTACTAAAGGTAAATAGGCTTTTCACTTTGCAAGGGAATTTTTTCCAGATCTTAGAGAATGAGGTGAAAATTCCCTTTGCAAAGAATACCTGATCACGTGCCATGAAGAAAACAAAAAGGAATTTTTACTTGCACATGATTGGATGGTGGTGAATGAAGTGAAGCTATGCTGACTTCCAAGTTCTAGGCAAAAGTCCCTTGCAAAGTTAACGGTCCTGTGATTGGACATGGTGGATCACAGGTAAAAAGTACAGAGCCAATGAAAGTATCTCTGTCTGGCATGATTGCTGTGACCAATCACAGCATCATATTGTGTATACAAAGGCTGTCATTTAAAGTTGTGTCTCACTCAGAAAGCTCTGGTTTTCTGATTGGTATAGGAGAGGAAAGAAAGCCTCTTGGCCACAAACTAGCAATCCAGTAACCGTGCCAACTGTATTGGAACTGACTCCTCTGACCTGTATATTAACCCCTCACCTCCCACTGTATGTTACCTGCACATTATTTGTATTTAATATTTGGGTAAGGGTAACAGATTTTTTTTGTTTGTTTTGTTTTTTCAGATAGGTCTTCTTTTTTTTTTCCTTTGGGTACAGTGTTGCATGACAGAGCAATTGTCAGTCAAACTATTAGGTCCCTTTCACACTGGTGGTCTGATCAGTTTTTCAGGTGGACCGGATCGGACCATCCATAGATCTCTATGGACCAGTGGGTGGAAATGGAAAAGCGGTCTGTTTCCTTTCGACCGCCCCGTAGAAGTCAGCAGGCTGTGTCTTTGTCCGTTCTTCAGCAATGGAGAGGACACAGACCTATCATTCGCCTGCTCAGTGGGGATCAGCAGAGAGATCCCCACTGAGCAGACAGATCCACTGATGAGGGGTGGATTAAACATCAGGGGTGTGGAAATTAAAAAAAAAAAATACTTGTCCAAGGGACTAAATCGGGGTCCCAATCTACTTGTCACTCACAACAATCTACTTGTCCTGATAAAAAAAATGTTTTAAACTAAAACCGTATTTAAATAAGGCTGACCTTCCCTTCACTCAGCAATCACGCCTCTGACCATACCTATAGAGGTGTCCTGCTGAGAGTGGGGATGGTCAGAGGTGGCTGGGGATGGACAGAGGTGGCATGCGGAGCGTGGGGATAGTCAGAGGTGGTGTGCGGGGATTGTCAGAGGTGGCGTGCGGAGTGCGGGGATGGTCAGAGGTGGCTGGGGATGGACAGAGGTGGCATGCGGAGCGTGGGAATGGTCAGAGGTGGCATGCGGAGCTAGTGGATGGTCAGTAGTGGCGCGCGGAGCTAGTGGATGGTCAGAGGTGGCGTGTGGAGCGTGGGGATGGTCAGAGGGGGCATGCGGAGCTAGTGGATGGTCAGAGGTGGCGTGTGGAGCGTGGGGATGGTCAGAGGTGGCATGCGGAGCTAGTGGATGGTCAGTAGTGGCGCGCAGAGGTGGAGCTAGTGGATGGTCAGAGGTGGCGTGTGGAGCGTGGGGATGGTCAGAGGTGGCATGCGGAGCTAGTGGATGGTCAGAGGTGGCGTGTGGAGCGTGGGGATGGTCAGAGGTGGCATGCGGAGCTAGTGGATGGTCAGAGGTGGCGTGTGGAGCGTGGGGATGGTCAGAGGTGGCGTGCCAAGCGTGAGGATGGTCTGAGGTGGCATGCAGACAGCAGCATGGATGAGTGGAGAGGTTGCTAACTCTGGTGTAGCATGAAGATCTGTTCATGCTTCACTGGTGTCCGCTCCGCAAAAAGAAAAAAAGTAAACCCTTCTGCTTGCCCACAGTAGGGCTAAATGGAAATAAAAACCACGTGCCCGATGTCCAGAACTGCATGTCCCGGGCGTTGGGCGATATGAATTGCACATCCCTGAACATGTTGGTACTGAAGTGGGTATATTTACCAACAACTATGCAGTATGAGGGACATCCTGACGGAATACAAATTGGCCTCGCACTATCAGGGGTGTGGACATTTTTTAAAAAACTACTTGTCCAGGGACTAAATCGAGGTCACAATCCCTCATGACAATCTACTTGTCCTGATAAATCATTTTAACACCCTCCCTGCCTGTCTCTAGCACCGCACCCGGGGACAACCGGGGAAGGGATAGACCTTGCATTGTGATGAGCACTGACTGAGTTCTCATCAGGAAAGAGAATGTCAATCTCTCTTAACGCTCAGCAGAAGCGGATCTGCTGTCCCTATTCCACACATTGACAATGTTAGCTCTGCCCTCATGCTGTCACTCACAGCATACTCCAGCACTAGCAGTGAGTCTCACAGTCTCCCCATCTGCGCACACTTACATGTTTTATCCCTTGCATATGACCCCGGAGCGCCCACACCCACTTTGCTGTGTGTGACCTGCAGCTGACAAATGTCCTTGTACCAGAGCTTGTCCATCACACTGGAACAGAATCTCTGCAACAGTGCCACCATCTTGAGATGCTCACATGGTTCTAGGGCATATTACCCCTTCCCTGAATGTTCTGTGTGTGCTGTGGGGACGAGGCCTAGCCTCCACCAGATCCCTTTGCCTTACATACATCCTCGAACAATAAGCACTGGACTCCTAACAGGTTTTTCTGGGAATTCACAGAGAGTCACAACTATATGGAGGAGAGACGGTGACCCTGGCAGAAAAAATGGAGCCTGGCCAGACAAGGGATCTTAATCTGTGCTTAGACAAAACAGACAGCAATAAAAGAGGCATCACATAAACGGACAACTGGTGTCAGCGAATGGACACCTGATTCTGCTGATCCTGTCAAGGGCAAGACGAATGCAGGGCTGGTCAGGGGAGATCTCTCCCCATTGGCTCATTGCTTTCTGAATGCTGCCTGTTCCTTTTGAATGGTTCTTTTTTTTTTTTTTTATAATATGTTTTCATTGTATTTTTAATAAATTTACAAAGTTCCAAAATACAGAAAGTAGGAAGAGGAGAAAGAAAAACAAAGGTAAATTTACAAGTGCCAAGAGGAATACAGGAACTATTAGGCTCCTTTCACATGAGCGGTCCAATCAGGTGTGTCTGTCCGTTTTTCAGTCTGCATCCAGTCTGTTCCACTAAAAACAAACAGGAGATCTGTTCCCCTGTGTCTGGATGGATCGAATTGGACAGCAGTCGGGTGTAAATAGACAAGCAGTTTGTTTACATCTGACTGCCCATATAGGAGAACGGGCTGCACTCTGCTTATGTAGGACCTGTCATCTACCCATTCTGCTTTGCCCAGTGTGGATCAGTGGATAGATCCCCTGCTAAACAAGCGGATTGCAGGTGAAGTCCACCCATGTGAAAGGGTCCTTAACCGCTTCCCGACCGCCCTATACCAGATATACTGCTACAGGGCGGCACGGGTGCGCAAAATCACGTATATATACACGTGATTTTGCATTTCTGGGTAGGGGACGTAGGCCCTACCCGCACCGTCATTCTTGGCCGTAGCTGTCAATCACCGGGTCCCGGCCTGTGATTGCCGAGCATCTCCGACGGGGAGGAGAGCTGTTTGCAAACAAAACAGTTCTCCCTGTCAGATCATGCACACTGCTTTGGATGACTGTGCACAGCACAGCCATGCAAAGCAGTTTGATTACAGTGAAACACAAACACAGTGCCCCATAGTAAAACACACCCCAACACACAGTTAACTCTTTGATCGCCCCTCATGTTAACCCATTCCTGCCCAGTGCCATTAGTACAGTGTCAGTGTTTTTTTATAGCACTGATCACTGTATTGGTGTCACTGGGGATGTCAGTGACACCAAGTCAGTTCCCCCCAGTGTCAGAATGCCTGCCGCAGTCCCTCTTAGTTGCTGATCACCGCCATTTCTGGTACAAAAAAAAATTCCAGTATCTATACTGCCATTTGTAAACGCTATAACTTTCACGGAAACCAATTAATTTACACGTACTGGGATTTTGTTTAGCAAAGACTTGCAGCAGAATACATTTTGGCCTAAATTTATGATGAAATTTGATTAAGTTTCAGGGCTGATTGTCCCTGTGCTGATTACATGTACTCTCCAAAAGGAAAAAACTCTCTAGCAATACACACTAAACAGAGCATGTGCAGCTTGCCCCCAATGCTCTGTTCTATTAGCAGATGGATTGGGGACTGTGGAAGGAGAAGATCAGAGAAGGGAGGATGAAACAGCCTTTTTACACAATGCATAGGATTAACCCCTTAGGTTCCACAGTGAGTATAACAAGCACGCTTTACTGCATATACAGACTGATTTTACTGTTGTGGGTTTAGTAACACTTTTAAGGCTAGTTAGGTGTAAGCTCAAATTCTGCTTTAAAAAATAAGTATTTGGTTTTATCTTATATCTTTTATGTAAATAGCAGTGCAATATGTAGCTCTTTGCTTAAGAAGTTTGTAATTTGATTAAATTTCTCTTGTTTACAGGGGAAGTAGAAGTGACATTTGGGAACAGGACCCACCTATGTAAAGGATAGAATAGAAGCTCTTCAGTTGGTAAGTCACAACTAGCTCACTGTTATCTAAGGTAAAGTCTTTGAAGTTCTGTATTTGCTATTGCATATCATTGTTTACTCGTGCATTTCCTGTTAGGCGAGTTAAAGTGATTGTAAAGTAGTTTTCTAATAACAACCCTGATATAATTAACTGCTCTGTGAAGTTGAATTGCACAGTATCCCCTATCCTCCTCTATTCAGGTCCCCCGCCAGTGCTCCTGGCTCTTGCTCTTCTTGGTGTTCCTCCATAGGAAGCTACTTCCTATTGTGGCACAACTGCGGGCTCGATCTATAGGCACACACCGCTCCCTTTTCACTGTATTTGACTGGCAGCAGCAAAAACCAATGGCTTCTGGTGTCGTAGCAAAGCCTATGAAAAGGGGGAGAACCACTAAAGACAGGCACAGACCTGGACCAAGTGAGGACTCAGGTAGGTTTAAGGGGGAATGATGGGGCAATACTGGTATCTAAACGTTTTTTTTACCTTAATGCATTAAGGTAAAACAGGTTTATACTTTCGAATCACTTTAAAGTGTATGTGAAAAAACTATTTTGCATTTCCATGTAGCGGGGCGCGATTGCCATATACCCGCACCGCCAATCAATCACCGGGTCCTGGCCGGTGAATACTCGCAGGCGCTTGGTGAAAAAAAACGGACATATCGTCAGATTGGCCACGAGAAGGCGAACAGTTTGGTAGGTCACACGCATTGTCTTGAATACATAGGAAAACAGAAAAGTAGATCTCGCAAACTGTACAGTGTATAATTTCATAATTCATATCTAATCAATCCTCAGACATGTCTGCCTAATAATCTATCCGCGAGTGGAATGTCACTTGTGCAGATGGAAAGTTATGGGCCAAAATATGAGTTATGGGAGATTTTGGCTCTAGTTGAGGTATCCGCCCATATCTACATGCCCTAAACGGGGTATTGGTCCTTGACTTCAGAGACACCCCTTGCTGGGGAACAACAAAATAGGCTGTCAGGCCTAAGAGAGCTGAGTTGAAGACTTCTCCCATTTTAACATCACTACCACCTGGGGAGAGCCGTGCCCTTTTGCTCTGAAACTTGGATCTGCTAACCCAGGACTTTGGCAAGTACCTTAACCCTTTCACCTCTCTCTGATATCTCTTTGCTATGCTGTTGGTCTCTGTATATTTATATATAGATATCTTAGTTACATCTTTTTCTGTAAATATTTTTATTGCAAACGTTTGACCTTTTAGTAATAAATCTTTCCTTCTGAAAGTGTTGAACTGTTTCTATAGTGCTTTATTGCAATTTACGAATTCCTGCCTCTAAAGAGAATGCTACTGTGTTTGTTTAACCCTCTGCATAATCGGCCTGCGGTGACCATATTATGCAGACGATTATCTCAACCATTATAGTGTTTTAGCTGATATCGCAGAGTTTCCTCTTTCTCTGTACAAAAAGGAGGTGGTGGCAGTGTGAAGGGTTAATTGCGTAATTAACCTGACCCAGTAACAATTGCTCAGGCTGCCGGTCCAATTAGCTGGAAACTTGTTGTGCAGGGTGCAGCTGGGTGTGGCATTGTTACGCACGTGACATCGCGGTTTCAGATCGGCTAGTCCTTCGGTCACGAGTTTGGTGAGAAGGTCTGGGGTCTGACGCCGCGATCATGACAATATCATCTTTGGACTTTGTCCTATACGAGTCTAAAAGCACCTCTGTACTGTATATCTTTGTCTATTTTCAAAGAATGCTGTTGGATTTGTATGTTATTCCTAAGAATCTTCTGTAACTGTTTGCTCTGCTCCTTTTGAAGTTTGGAAATCAACAATTGAAAAAAAAAAAAAACCTAAAAAATAACATTTTTAAATACAATTTGGGATTTCAGATTGCTGTCCATTCTCCACAACACAGGAGGTGAGGGAAAATCTCTCTCTCAATGGGGATGCAGATAGCAATAAAAGCACGTTTCAGTATTTTCAACTTCTATTAGATTTAAAAAAAAAAAAACAAAAAAAAAAAAAACCTCTCTAACTCATATTTTCCCTGTTTATGCTGCTGGGTATAGGCATACTTTTCTACTAGAGAAGGTAAGGGATTTTGTATTTCTTCTCTGGACATCTTTAATTTCATTACTGCTAAAGTTGTGTTTGAAGTAATTCTAAAAAGCCAAAACCTCTTTTTTTTGCCACCTTTGTCTATTTAGGGAGGTTACCTAATAGACTCAACAGTATAGAGATAGCTTTCTTATATGAGGAAAATCCCCTCTGAGGATTTAATGACCTGGGAGGGAAGTGGGGTAGGGTGATGGTAAAACAGGCGATTGGGCTGCGGTTCTATAGTCCCCTGACTGCCCACCTGAAGAAGAACATGCAGCCTCTCAGGGCAAAGATTTAACACCGTCATATTCAGTAGACATAACTTATGTAATAGGGTCCTTCTGAAGAATTTGCCATAGCAACAAAACACATCAAGGGGTAAAGCAACAATACAAAATAAAAATCTCCTTACGGTCTGCCGATGGCAGCCAGGTTTCAAGTTGGAGCGGTGATAGGAGTGTGTCTTCACACTGGAGACAAATGAGAGTCTGCTCGGGAGTAATAGTGGTTATGCTTTTACTTGCTGCAATTTAAAGGTAGATGTTTTGTGAGTAGATTTGAAGATTTCCAATAACATTTTTAGTTGTGACCTGCTACATTATGTTAGTATTCTTTCTTCTTTGTGAGCTGTGACCGTGCGGAACACATTATGGTGATGATACGGAAAGAGCAGATCTGTGGCTTAGATTAAGTGAGATGACAATTTAATTTTATCTCAAAACACGGGAAGGTTTCTTCACAGTGAGAGCTGTGAAAATGTGGAATAGACTCCCTCAAGAGTTGGTTCTGGCCAGCTCAGTGGATTGCTTCAAAAAAGTCCTGGATTCTTTCCTAGATACACAGAATATAACTGGATACTAACATTTATAGGTAAAGCTGATCCAGAGAATATCCGATTGCCTCTCTGGGGATCAGGAAGGAATTTTCTTTCCTGCAGGAGAAAATTGGATTATGTTTTGCTGGGGTATTTTTTTTTTTTTGCCTTTCTCTGTATTTAGGATAACTTTTTTTTTTAATGGTTCAACTGGATGGACTTTTGTCTTTTTTCAGCCAAAAAAAATTTGGTGAGTGCGGTATGCTTACAGGTGAAGAGACCATTGATGGCTATTTATTACCATGGGCATCGTTTTGTTCATTTTGCATGAACACTTTTGACATTTTCACTTTTGTAACAGTATCATTCTTACATTGATACTTTGTTTACACAAATGGTTTATTTGTTGTTTAAGGCTCCATACACACTGGGCGTTTTAATAACGTTGGTAACGTTAGCTGTGTAAAGTCACATTAAAACTGAGTTTTTCAGCGTTTAGCATTTTTGCATTGATGTTTTGCCGCATTATTTTCACGTTTGTGGTTTTTAGCATTTTTTTTTGTACCAAAAAAAAATTTTTTTTCTGCTAAAAAAAAGTCCAAAACGCGTATGACGCGTTTTTTCTGTGATTTTTAGCGTTCAAGCATTTTTACAGCTAAAAAACCTCTCTAGAAACCCACTAGTTCTGGGGGGCTTTTTCCAGCCAAAAAACATTGATTACAGTCTGTGTGCATGGACACATAGGATAACATGCTGGGGAGTTTACTGGCTGTAAAAAAAAAACAAAAAAAAAAAACACCAAAAGCTGTAAAAAACATCCAGTGTGCATGAGGTCTTATATTCAAGTAGGGTGGCTCAGCGCTGGGCTCTTGGAGGTGACACAAAAGGAAAAAAAAATGTTTTGACTTTAGAAACGCTTTGAAGCGGATCCCTGTGCAAGTTGGAAGTCACTGTGATAGGCACTGTGTCCCATACAGATCAGCTGCGCTGCTGCATTGTGAAGACAAGGGGTTGTTTGCTTGGCATGTGTGCCATCCAGAGAACACTTTGACATCACCAACCTACCTCTCTCCCCCTCACCCAGTCAGAGAACACTTTGCACTCATTGAGAGACTGTAGAGTGTTACTTGAATGTCACCCATTTTCTTGTGTTCCTGTGTCAGTTGCTCAGCACAGGACTAGAAAGCTAGTGGAGATCATTATAGTAGTGGTGCCTACTAGAATGATTTCCAGCTTCCACAGGGATCCAACAGGTATGGCACATACATGGACAATCCAGTTATCCAGTATACTGTGTGCTATATGTCCTCATCCTTAAATTAGGCATATACACAAACAAAAAGTGGTAGTAGCCAGGGACTTTTTGAGGAACATATAAGAGAACACTGCATATATAAAACCATACATTTTTTTGGAACATTCAATAAAAGAACAAAACACA